TAAACTACACTAATAAAAAACAGACACCAGCAAACGAGGAAAAGCGAAACAAAACCACTAACAACACCGACAATGTCTAATAATAACGACACCAATGGCGAAGGTATTCACCACTCCAATAATGACGAAATCAGCAACGAAAATATACACTACACCAATAATAACGACACCAACGGCGAGGGTACTTTCAAAAAAGAAAGAAGAATATTAGTAATGCACACAAAGATTCATGCAAAGCAAAAAAAAAACAACCGAAGCGAAATGATGCCAATAAACGACAAATAACTACAGCAAACGTTTAAACTGCCAACAAAGTGAACCAAAATTAGACAACACCAACAAAATGACTACAGCCTATTAAAAAGAACATGCCATAAACAATGACAGTCAAGTAATAACATTAGTGACGACACCAATGACAATCAATATTGATGACACTAGCAATGACCAAAAAGCACTAACAACACCTACGATGACCTAAAAGAAATGCCTAAAAGAAAAAAATAAATGTAAAATTATCAACAAGAAACTGCGTGAAGAAATTTTTTTTCAAAGATCTTAAAATCAAAAAATTGAAACAAAAAAAAATGATTATAATCGCTATTTATTTACTCCTAGGGACCTATAAAATTTTAAAGCTCGTTTCACATGCACATGAAATGCAAGTCGTTGCTTAATTAACGTATGTATCTAAGTTTAAAATTTATACCGTAATATACGTAATTTTAAAAATTATAACGCATATACTTATATTAATTAAACTCAAGTTTAATATATGAGTTTAATAAATTAGATTGATTATAAAAAAATTCTGTTATTTTATCTTCCATAATATGGCTTCAAATTCTTCGCCAGTTTTTCGTTTCTTTCATTTCAAAGCTTTCAAAAAATCGTTGATGATAACATGAATAATAGAAAAACGAAAGACATATTATGAATTGTTTAAAGTATGATCGTTGCCTGACTATTTTACGAAACCCGTCAAGTAAGCATGAATATTCGAACTTTAAATATTGGCTTCTTAATACTTTTAAATTAATTAAAGTTAGAAGTATCAATGGACTGAATGTTAAATCTGATAGTGGTCAAATGATTTATAATCTTAATGAAAAAATAATACTAAAAAACATGAGTAAATTTGAAACCTAGGCTAAAAATGGATAGACAAGCATTGCAACTCATATCAAGTTTGGGAATTTTGGATATATTAGTTTTTAGCAAACAAATTAGAACCCTTAGATACTGATAAATTTTCTGAACTTGATGTAATTTCAATGAGCAAATTTATTTTACGAAATGCTGGTGCTCAACAAAACCAAATTGTGAAAGTAGGGAGTTGGAGTTGTTTTGTCGTAAGAACCATGCTCTTTGTACTTTTTGTTGTGGTTGTATTCACCGAGGTACATGCAAAAATCATATAGCGCTTAGCAGTTGTTTAATCTTCAACATGTGGATTTTAACAATCGTAATAGAAGTTAAATGCAATAATTAATAAAAATAATTTGATTTGCGTTGTGAATTTTTTTTAATTGATTAAAATATGAAGTACTTTAATTTACAATTTCGAAGCTACATATATCAATTTTTAATTGACAGAAATTTGAAAATGACGTCTAACAGTGATACGTATTTTATTTTAATAAAAATTTTATACAAACTTAACTTATTTAACTAGTTTGTATTGGGTATTGATGTTGTGATCTATAGATATGACTTAGTGTGATTTGGTTCATAATTGGCAAAATTTAAATAAATTATTAAGTATTAAAGAGTGAACTTAAAAATTTATCTAAAATTTATTTATTAAATTTAAATCAAAATTTATTAAATTTAAACTAAATTTTGCTTTTTGTTATTAGAAAAAATTTTGAGTTTTTTAAAACTAAAATTTTATGGGTCCCTGTAATCCAGTAGCTATATTCTTATATTTATTATATATACTACATATATACAGTATATAACTAATGAAATTTATTTAATATCTAACTAGCTTGCATTGAATTATGATCTATTAATTTACTATAAAATTTTAGTACATACACATATACGTACAAAATTTATATATTGTGAGTTACTGTATTTGTTATTCCGGTAATGCAAGGTATATGATTTGGTTAGTTTGCATTGGAATTATTATAATTTCCATTACCTTGCTATTCCGGTAACACAGTGTGTGGTTAAGTTGAAATTAAAGTAGGTTGCATTGGAATTCTATCATCTTGCTATTCCAATAAACACAATATGAATAGTTTGCATTGAAATTATCGTAGTTTTAATTATGAATTACTGTAAAAAATTCTGTAGAACTTACTCTCTATTCCAGTGACACATAGCATATGCGTTAGTTTGAACATCAGAATTATTGTACGTACGTGTTTCTATCATATAAGATTTTGTAAAAATTCTGTTGCATTATTCAGTGACACAGTACGTAGTTAAGGAATTCTAATCATCGGTAAATACAATATGGGTTAGTATGCATTGAAATTATCATAATCTTAATTATGAATTACTATTGTAAAAAATTTTGAAGAACTTGGTTGTGTTAGTTTGAACATTGTAATCTTGATCATAAGTTACTGTAAAAAACTCTGTAGACTTACTCACTATTCCACTGACACAGATATGTAATTAAGATTGCAATGAAACTAACAAGGTTTCTATTATAAGTTACTATAAAAATTTTGTTGCATAACTTTAATTGCTATTTGGTCAATATTGAGTTAGTTCATATTGAAATTTTCATGATTTTTTATTGCAGTATACACAGTATATAGTTAAAGTTAAATTGTCAGAAAAATTTGATATAGAACTTAATTATTTCGGCAATACACACTATGTAGTTAAGATTAAATAATATAGTATAAAATTCTGCTTATTCTAGTAATACAGCTTGTATTGGATATAACAGAACTTGCTATTAATATGAAATATAATAATAATATTTTTATAATATTTTTAATAGAAATTAACTAATGTTCACCACAGGTGATTATCACTTGTGATCTACAATATAAACAAAAACAATTAATTTTTAACAAAACAAAAATTAATTTCTTTAAGATTAGGGTAAGGATAAAGGCTAGAGGTTAGTGTTAGTGGTTAGGATAGAGCTTTTTATATAGTAAAATTTGGCAAGAAATTTTTTTTATTAGAGCTTAAAAGGTGATTTCATAGACAAAATTTTAATATATAAGTAGTTTTTTAAAAATTCATTGTTTTTGTTATACAAAATTGATTTACATGTTACACTTAATCCTGAATTTTAATTGGTAAATTGACTACAGGTAATAATCACCTGTGGTGTAAATTAGAAATGTTCTTTTTAATAATATTAAATGGTTTAAACCCATTTTTAAAAAGCTTATTTTAAAAATATATTTAAAATATAATAATAATATTTTTATAATATTTTTAAAAACATTTCTAAACACCATCCCAGATGATTTTATTAAACATTATCTATATATATAGCAAGCGGTTTGTGTAACGTGTATTACATTATACATATTGCTCGTGTAACCAAGTCCAATAGTGATATTTTTATTCATCACAAAGATCGTGACTGTCACTTGGTATGACAAATAACAATTCTTTATTAAAGTTAAATATAAATTATTAATTGTTACATCCAATATTTCATCATGCACATGCGTTACAAATGGAAGTATTACATATGTACTTAGTTTAAACTTAAAACTCTACCAACATATTAATTGTGAGCTATAACAATAAATAAACGGCTTCAAAATTATTTTTATCAACTCTCACCGACGATTCCTCATACCGAAATTTTTGAGAAGAATCCAACTCAAAAAACAAGAAACCCGGTATACAATACATCTGGTGAAATGAATAAAACCATAAGCCAGCACCTATCGTTTAGAGGTAGTTCTCATACGCTACCTGCCGATAGGCTTAGAGTTTATCACTCA